AAAAAAAAAAAAGATAAGGTTCCTATCCTCATGAAGTTATATTGTAATAGGGTAAACAGATCATGACCAGAGTTATAAGTATGTACATATTACAGCAATGTAAACATCCCGAACTATGAAGTTAACCATTTTTGCTCAGGGTTAATTAGCTCTGGGGCAAGAAAACAACAATTTTAGGAAAAACAACATAAGAAAGCAGTGGGAAAGTTCCCAGGAGAAAAAGAAAAGGAGGAAGGGGCTACTCAGAGTAAGAAGCACACGCAATAACAGTCTTTGTCATGTATGGAATTCCATGTGGTTGGCTGGGACAGTGCTTCAGCAAGCACACGCAATAACAGTCTTTGTCATGTATGGAATTCCATGTGGTTGGCTGGGACAGTGTTTGAGAGCTCTCCAATCCCACCCCCCCTCACATAATTATTTCCTCCTAAGAGAATCCTGAGTCTCTGTGAACAGCTGAATAAACCTGTTCGTCCTGAGCCTCCACCCTTCCACCTTTCCCTGCCCCACCTTCTCTCCCCTGGAATAGCACCAACTGTTACAAATTTTCTCTCTTTTACAAAGAAACCTTACATCCCCTCAAGCTGGGATTAAATAATGGAGTTGACTATTCATCTATCTTTTCATTCATTCATTCGTTTATTCAAGAATTCATCCTTCATCGTTCAGTCAACAGACATTTTTGAGTACCTCCAATGTGTCAGGCACTGGAAGCAAGAGAGTGAATAAGACAGATAGCCCACCCTCACAGATGTCAGGTTCTAGAGCATAAAGGAAGTAATAAGGAGGGGGCATTCAGTAGTGGGAGGGGTGGAGACTATCTTAGGTGGGGCCACTTGAAGATGACATTGGGTTGTGACCTGAAGAAGGCAGCCATACAGAGGACTGGAGAAAGGTCATTCCAGGAGGAGGTACAATGAACACAAAAGCCCAGAGCTGAGAAAGAGGTTGGAGTATTCAGGGGCTCCCAGAGAGGATGGGGACTGAAGTGGAGGCCTGAGGAGGAGAGTCAGAGATGAGGCTGGTGGCAGAGTGTGGGCCCTGTAGAGTGTTGGGTGGAGCCCTGGCCTCCCGCTATGGGACTTGAGCAATGACACTCCCACTCCCCAAACACAACCCCTTACATGAGAAGGTGGAAGTGGGGATCCAGGCAGAGAATGAGGGGACCATCCCAGGAGGAGGTGCTCAGCTGGACAAGACAGGGCTTTCAAGGCACCCACACCACCACACTCAGGTTCCCACACCACCACACTCAGGTTCCACACATTAGTTTCCCAATGGTGGGGGAAAGTTTTCAGATACTTCATAAAAGACCATTTAAATTTCTGGATAACTTTTCAGAGATTTTATTCCTGATTACAAAAGGAGTATAAACTGATAAGCCTCACTTGTTTTCTAATTAGAATTTTTTTTTTTTTAGTACAAAAGCCAAACAGGCTTTAAAAAAAAATACAACCATAAATATATACAATATTTATTTGTTATTTTAATAAATAAAGAAGAAAAAATACATCGGGGGGAAAAAGAAAATACAAGTTAAAAAAAAAAAAAAAAAAAAAAAACACCTAGAAAATAATAGCACCCACGATGCCAGCAAGGAACATTGTCTACCAGCTTTCTCTTAGTCATGAAGGACAAGTGGGAGAAAAAAGTCTTTCATGTACTAAAAATAAGCAGACTAATGATCCTAAGATCATTAAAATCATGGCCACTGGCTGGACCCTCTAAGAATTGTGGACCCAGCCCATGCCTTCCGGGGGAGAGGGAGAGCTTGTTTCCCTAAGCAGTGTCGTGGGACCTTGAGAGGGGAAGTGTGTGACCTCTGCCTTTTCCTGTTCCTCAGCTGTCAAAGACTTTGTGATTGTTCCCTTGCACACCACCCCAGAGACATCTGTTAAAGAGATCGACGAGCTGGCCGATGTCTACCTGGATGTGAAACGCCGTTGGAAGGCAGAGGTGATGACCTCTATGTTTGCCAAATTCCTATCTAAGCAGGGGCAGTCTGGCTCTGGGATGAGCACTTCTCCAGGGATGGTGACAAGGGCAGGACATATACAGGTCACTAACACCTTACTGCTTCATTTTAGGCCTTTCCTCAGTCCTAAATATTCTTTCTGCTAAATCTGCCTGGGTGCCCTCTGTGTAGGCCCTGGGAATTCATACACTGCACCCTTAGTAATGGATCCCCCACTTACTGAGTGAACAGCTGGTACCAGGCACCAAACTGAGGCTTGACATGGTCAAGTTTATTTAATCTTCCCAATAATCCCACAAGGTAGCTACAGCAATTTCATCATTACCATTTTGCGGTTAAGAAAGGTGAGGCATAGAGAGGTCAGGAGTCTTTTCCTTGCAACGGACAGGATCTTAACACAGCTCATGAAAAAGAGAAACAACCTGTTGGTTTATAAAACTAAAATGTCTGGGGGTAGTTCAGGCATAGCTGGATTCAGGGCTCAGAAAAGGTAATCAGGGCTTGGTTTGTCTCTTCCTTCCCATCTCTTGGCTCTCCTTTCCTCCATGTAGGCTTCATTCTCAGGCCAGTTCCACCCTTAGGGTGGATGAACCAGCAGCCTGTAGACTACACCAACTGACAAGTTTTCTTTTGCATGGTGCAACTAATACCCCAAAATTGAGTCTCATTGGTTCTGAATGGATCACATGCCCATCTCTTAGCCAATCATTGTGATCAAGAGGCTGAGATACTCTGATTGGTTAAATCTGTGTCAGCTCCACCCCCTCCTCATGGGCAGAGGTGGAAAAGGGAGGGGTAGTTTCCCCAAAGAAACATGGGGTGCTGTGAGAGTCTGTGAAAGCTCTTGGGGAATATGGAAGTGCTCCAGAGGCTTCTTCTTCCATATTCCTCTTTTCTTCTTCCAGACTGTGACCCCTGTGATCTCCCTTCCTCCTTCTCCCTTCTGCTGTTAAAAGTGCAAAATGAGTAAAGTGTAACATAGTTGATCAGCGCTAGGGCATGGAGAAGATAAGGGGTGGATTTCAGTGCTTAGCAGTAAATAGGCTCATTTATTCATTCTAAAAATTATTAAATAGTTCATTCATTCAAATAGGATGCATTGAGTGTCAGGCTGTGAGGCATTAGTGGCCCCAAACTCTTGTCATGCCAGGTCTTTGGTGAGGCAGATCAGGGTGTAATTCTTTACTTCACTGCTTGAACCTCCTGGCCACGTGGCCTAGGACAGGTCACTTAATCCCTCAATTTAGTTTTTACAGAAGATAATGGGCCCTTCACTGTTGTGAGGTGTAACTTAAACTTTAAAAAACACTTAATAGGGCGGCACCTGTGGCTTAAAGTAGTAGGGCGCTGGCCCCATATGCCGGAGGTGGCAAGTTCAAACCCAGCCCCGGTCCCCCCTCCAAAAAAAAAAAAAACACTTAATGATGGGCCTGGAAAATAGGAAATGAATGTTCAGCAAGTCATGCCTATATTAGTAGAAGCTGTGATAACTCATGTTAAGGATGACATTCTGTCCTCAACTGTGCCCATCAATCTCATGGGAAACTTCAATTGCCAAGGTCAAAATAAAATGTTCTTGAAGAAAAGTTTTAAGTCAGCAATGCCCCCAAACAATAGTACAAACAAGGAAATCTGACACTTCCTCTGTTTTGTGGAATGTTAAAATTCTGTTCCAAGAGCCTTGCAGGGAAAAATTTTTCCAAGATAGAAAGTTTCTGATGTTGGCCTTTGGTGAGGGTGGACATCTCACTCTATAACCCCCCTCCTTAATATTCCTCCTACTTCCTCAACAGGCTGACTTTCCATAGGAATAAGTTTCCAACTTCAAAACAATACGAGAAAAAGTGTGGAGTCAAGCCTGTGATACACCACCCAAGTTCATTTTTCCTGCTTGGAAACAGAAGACATTGATTCATCCATATGTTTATACCCTACAATAATTTGAGCCAGAGACAAAAGATTGGGGAATATATTAGCTGTATTCTTTTATCCCCACCTAACTGCATGCTGAATTTTAGAGATGTGGTGACTAAGAATAGCAAACATCCTCCTTCCCTTGTAACATCCTCCCTGGCACAGTTGCTTGTCAGATACTCATCAAAACTGTGACTCAGTTTTAAACTGTGGCCCCTTCATTTAAAAAGCAAAAAGAAAATTAAGAAAGACGCTGTACTAACTTGCTAGGGCTGCCATAACAAAGTGCTGTACCAAAGGTTGGGTGGCTTAAACAACGAATTATTTCCTCACAGTTCTGGAGCTAGAATTCCAAGGTCAAGATGTGTCAGTGAATTTGGGTGCGGTGGCTCACACCTGTAATCCTAGCACTCTGGAAGGCTGAGGTGGATGGATTGCTTGAGTTCAGGAGTTTGAGACCAGCCTGAGCAAGAGTAAGACTCTGTCTCTACTAAAAATAGAGAAACTGAGGCAGGAGGATCTCTTAAGCCCAGGAATTTGAGGTTGCTGTGAACTCTAATGATGCCATGACACTACCCAGGGCAACAAAAGTGAGACTCTGGGCTTGGCACCAGTAGCACAGTGGTTACGGCACCAGCCACATGCACCCAGGCTGGCAGGTTCAAACCAACCTGGGCCAGGTAAACAATGACAACTGCAGCAACAAAAAAATAGCCAGGCCTTGTGGTAGGCATCTGTAGTCCCAGCTAATTGGGAGGCTGAGGCAAGAGAATCTCTTAAGCCCAAGAATTTGAAGTTGCTGTGAGCTGTGACACCAGAGCACTCTAATGAGGGTGACATAGTGAGATTGTCTCAAAAAAAAAAAAGAAAAGTGAGACTCTATCTCAAAAACATAAACAAATAAACAAAAAACCCCGTGTGTCAGTAGAGTTGGTTTCATTTGGGGACTTTTCCCCTTGGTTCATAATCTTCCCCAACCTTTTCTTTATTAGGACATCAGTCATAGTGCATTAGAGCCCACTCATCTGACTTCACTTTACCTTAATTACCTCTTTAAAGACTCTATCTCCAAATACATTCACATTCCAAAGTACAGGGGATTAGGACTAGGAATTAGGACATGTGAATTTGGACTTCCCTGACCCACACCCCCCAAATACACACACAGCTCAGCCCATGACAGACCCCTTTGTTTACTGGACTTGGGAGGTGAAGTCATTGCCTAGCAGTCCCAGGTGAAAGCGTTCCAAATTGTGTCTTTCAGAATTTCATTTTCATGGGTGACTTCAATGCCGGCTGCAGCTATGTCCCTAAGAAGGCCTGGAAGAGCATCCGCTTGAGGACTGACCCCAAGTTCATTTGGCTGATTGGGGACCAAGAGGACACCACAGTCAAGAAGAGCACCAACTGTGCATATGACAGGTAGGGGCCCTGCAGGAAGCTGCTAGCCCACACAGTGCTTGGTGTGCCCAGGAGAGGCAGCCCCCATGGGGCTTAAATGCCAGGCCCTTCTGCCAGGAACCTGGTGCAGAGTATGAATTCCATGACCTTGTGCAGTGGTCCTGAGCTCTGTCGCTTAGCAGAGGTAAGCACCAGCTTTGGTGTCAGACACCAAAGTATTCAAGTTTTTACTCTACCACGTAGTGTATCTGTGAGCAAGAGATTTAAGCTTTCTGTATCACATCTCCTCCCTGTAAAATGGAGATTACAGTAGTGCTTCCCTCCCAGAGATATGTTAAATGTAAAGCTGCTGGGACAGTGCCTAGCATGTGGCGAGTCCTCAAGACATTCATCAGCTGTTGATTTTTCCATCATAAGGATTCACCATAGTTTATTCACTCAACACCCATCACTAGACATTTGGTTAGTACCAAATGTTTAAATGCTGCTGACATGACTTTGTATAATGTGCATTTTGTACATACACTGATGATTTCTTCAGGACACAACCCTACAAAATGCAGCCAGTTAGTGCAAGGGTATTATACTTATAAAGCTTTACTGCACATTCCTAAATGCAAATGTACACATTTAAATAATAGCTTCCTTTGTATTTTAAAGTCTCTATGGGAATTTTCAAGCAGCTTTCAACTTTGTTCCTTCAATCTGGAGGGAGGTGGGAGTGCCTTGAGGTGTGAACGTTAGTGACCTTCTATAGCAGAGACCACAGGCAAGGAAGCACAGAGGAGCCTGGCCCCACAGCAGCCAGAGGTGGCCGTTCCCAGAGCTTAGCCCACCTCTGAGGAAGCCTGAGATGGCCATCTGTGAGAGAAGAACTCGTTCTTACTTCTCAAGTTTTGAGGTCTGCCTTTCATTTCCATCCCATAACCTTTGTTCCTCTTGGGACTTTTGGGGCTGGTATTTTCTTTGCAGAAGTCATCACTCTGCAAAGCAGAAACCAAAAGTGGGAAATTACAGGATACTGAGTGCCCAGGGTGCCCCTTACCCACTTTGAAGGGTTTCCAGCACAGCTGGGGAGACAGCTGCCCACTCACTTGTCCATGCCCCCATGCCGCTTGTGTAACCTTGGGCAGATCAAGTCCCTTCTCCATTCCATTCCTCTCCCCTGGCAAATGATTGGGGAAGGGGGTAGTGTAGATGTGGTGATTGAAAATAATACAGAAGAACAACTTATCATAAGAAGAGATATCTATAATTGATCAGGTAGGGTGGCAGAAAAGGTGAAAAAGATGTTTACTAAAAGAACCCTAATTTTGTACACGTGTATGCCAAACGATGGTGGGATTGAATGTGATTTTCTTAAAGATTGATTTCTTATTTTGATGCTCTGAATTTTCTGTTTTCCATAACAACATATTTAACTTCTGTGATTTTTAAAAAGCCTCAAAAATGATATTTAAAAAATGGAGTTAGATAAGATGGCTTCATTTTCAGTCTTTGTTCTGTGCTCTGATATTTACTGGACACTTCCCATGTGCTGAGCACTGGGGGACAAATAAAGGTGACCAGGACCTGGCCTGGGCCAACCTGAGAAAACTTAGTGTGAACAGCTGACTAAGCCACGCATATCCCTGGAAGAAGTCAGGAACAGATGAGCCTTAAACATGTTGTTCTTTGCTCTCTGAATCTTAAAAAATGGTGTCCAACCTACTATGAAGAGTTGATATTTGGGTTGAGTTGAAAGTTAACCATGGTGGTGGTGTTAGCAAACATGGAAACCAAAACCACTGGTGAGAATAAGGAAAAGCCCAATGTGTAGTCCTGAAATAACAGGGGGATTCAGTGAGTCACTCAGGACCACATAAAACTCTAATTGCATTACTCCAGTTAGGGTAGACTCTGTTTCCAAAACTCATTTAAATACTATGTTCCCATTTTTCATCATCACTGTAAAGTACTTGTACTGTGGTTTTTTCTTGTATTTTTCTTTTAATCCATTACTTCCTCACTGAAATAAAACAAGTTTTTTTTTTGTTTTTTTTTTTTTTTTTGAGACAGAGCCTCAAGCTGTCCCCCTGGG